ACAGGCTTAACTTCCAAACAGGGCAAAATTGTAATTATTCAAGGGGGTTTTGTTATTTCACAACCTTTTCACAGCTGGAATTTTCCCCAGCTCGCCTATCCTTATGTCCAGGACTTCAGTCTAAGACACATTAAGAAAGCAGTATACACATTTGGGGTTATGAGTTGAAAAATTAACTAAAATTCTTTATTTTGAAGTATCATCTCTACATGACCACAATCCACCTGTTTTTTTTAGAGGATTAGTGAATTCTTTTCTAATAAAACAGATTGAGGAAGGAGGAATTTATTGCTTATGGAGTGCTTGTTCAGAGCTTGACTGTTATGTCTACATCCTGAAACATCATGGAGGGAGACAAAAATGTTGTTCGTGTTAACAAATTACAGTTTGTCTATAAACTTCTATTCTCAAAGATTCTGTACTATTCCTGGTCTGGGTATGTGTGGTCTTGAAAGTCAGGTAGACTTGTAAAGCAATGGTGCTAAGGTTTTCCACAGCAGGAGGCAGGTGGATGGATACAGGAGACATACTCTGGCAGCACAGAAATGGAGTTGAGGAAGCCCCATGCCTTTTATTTCACAGACCCTTTGCAGTCCCCTGACCCTGCTATCTCAATTTTAATTGCCTTAGAATTTCTAGTTCAGAGTTTGTTTACTGCACTAGCTTCTTTTTCTTGATGGTTGTTCAAGGTTGTGAAGATCTGGCTAAAAATAAAAATTAGAACATGTCCCTTGTGCATATTTCTGTCTCCTTTCTCAAATGAGACCAACCAGAGAGCAGCTGACACCGATACTGGCAGTCTGGGTTGGGTACAGAACACTGCTGAATACACCAGTGAGGGCTGCTCTTGGTGCTCAGTGGCTCTGGGATTCCTCCTGGCAAAGGACTAGCACTGGAACCCGAGTGAAGCTGCAAGGAAGTGATGTGCTCTCTGTGAGAGCAGAATTCACAGAATGTGCACAGAAACCTTCACGGATCAATGAAAACTTCTCTTGGTTCTTGCCAGTCTTCAGTGTCTGGGGCATCTAGTGTAAATAATGACAAAATCCCTTTCTCTATTAATCTATCATTCTATTGCATACTCCAGAGCCCGTTTTAAATTACCATCATCATTATGAATTTAAGCATGTTTTGTTCTTTTTCAGCAGTTGAGTCTGCTAAGATGTGTTCCATCACTGTCATTTTACCTTCTTGTCTTTCTGCTTAAGATTGAAAGAGAACTTCTAAGCATTTATTCTTGTTCTGTACCTATGTGCTACATCATCTTATTTCACAAATCTGTGAATATAAAAATAATTCACTTTTCCCATATTTTCCTATACCTTTGCTTTAGTGGTATTTATGAGACACTCAAAGGAACTGCATTTGAAGATCCTTTATTACAATGTGATTTCCAAACTTCAGTAATACTAATTTACTTTTGTTTTCATGGCTAGGATGTTAGACTGAGACCTATTACGCTAAAAAGCTGTTGCTCTGTGTGGGATGTGCTAGCCTCTTTTAGGTAGCTTAAGAAAACCTTTTGATATCCCAGGACATTCTCTTACCACATCCTTGAAAATATCTAACATTTTCTGCAATCCACTGAATTCCAAAAATATTCTACAATTTTGTCAGATCCTAAATACGTAAAAATTCTTCTTCCCTCTCCTTTTGTTCTATCCCTAGAATGGTTTGAATAACAAGCAGGAATCTTCACTAAAGACACAAGGATCGCCTCTTCTTCCAGAGGAATGTTTGATTTTTTGCAGGTTCTCAACATGATTTCATCAATTCCAGCTGGACTCCATGAGGCTGCTGGTTCTTTTGCTCTCCCATTTATAGAGTACCGTGTTTGGAATGAGATTATTTATGTTACTGTTAATTACTGTAACTAATTTCGCAGTTGGTGTGGGGAAGCCTGAGGACGTGGCTCAGCTGGTGGCTGCCAGCGCTAAAAGGAGTTGCTAAGAACAACTTCAGATAAAATTTTGTCACAGCGCTTTAGGCTTTTAAGGGCCAGTGTCCCGAGCCCAGTCTGGCCCTCATCTAAGGTGAATAAAAGTGCTCTAAGTTTTGGCAGTTCTGGGACGAGAAATTCGGACACCTGCCCTGCAGGGGCTGGGGTGATCAGTGCACTGAACGGGAACGCCCAGGGAGCTCAGGGAGCTCAGGGCCACCCTCCGTGCATGGCTGCGTGGCTGTGCTCGGCAGCGCTGACAAACACCTCTTCCAGCGTTTCGCTCCTTACTCTTGGAAAGCAAAGTCTGGTGGAAAGTAAACAGATTGCGCCAAACGCTGTCCTTTAGACTCTGCTCCGGCCGTGCCCCTCCGCTCGCCTCACACCGGCACAGCAGCGGGAGCGGCGCGACGGCGACACACGGCGGAGAGGAGCGGGACGGGCCCGCGGGGAATCCCGTCACTGGAGCACGGAACGGTTCGGGTTGGGAGCGGCATGAAAGCCCATCCCGTCCCAACCCCCTGCCATGGGCAGGGACACCTTCCACTAGAACAGATTGCTCCAAGCCCCGTCCAGCCTGGCCTCGAGCACTTCCAGGGATGGGGCAGACACAGCTTCCCTGAGCAACCTGTGCCAGTGCTTCACCACCCTCACATTTCTAATCTAAACATACCCTCTTTTAGTTTAAAACCCTTTGTCCAACCACAGCAGGGCCTGCTAAAAAGTCTGTCCCCATCTTTCTTTAAGTACCACAATTAGGTCTCCCCAGAGCCTTTGTCTCTCCAGGCTGAACAACCTCAATTTTCTCAAGCTCTTCTCATAGAAAATGTGTCTTTGTCTTTCCATGACTATGTCTTTTTTATATTCAATGAATTTAAAGATCAGCATCAGTAAGTTCACTTAAAGGTTTATACTTCTTTACTTGAATGATGGAGACATAGGTTATCTGCTGTTTATTTTTGACTTTGTTTCTTTACACCACAGATTGCCCTTTAAAAATCCTTGAGCTTAGTGATGGTTAATCAAATCTCATGTTTGGAGGAATAACATTTTGGGTGACTTACTATGATATGTCCACACTGCTGATCCAAAAAGGATAATTTTAAAAAATGTCTACATGGTATTCAGTATTCTTCATGTCAGTCCAAAAAAGAAAGAAAATCTGTTATGAGGCATCAGCAAGCCCTGGATGCACATAGCTGAGAGGAAAACAGATCATTTTCAGGGATCTGCTTGTGTAGGGTTTCATAAAACAGACATTTCTAAAAGTGCTCTCAGTGGGAAGGTTTTTTGAAGAGAATCTTCCTGTCTGTTGATTTGCTGTATGTTGTGAGCAGTTAAAGTTAACATGCTGAATATTTTCATTCATGCCATATTCTCCTGTGCTGCAAACAGTACTTACAAAGAAGAAATTAGGTGGATAATTGTTTGGCAGGTTCTGTCTCTTCTAACTGGATTCCCCATCCATTATGTGCTTTACTGGCTCTATTATTATCCACTGGAATATACTTTCAAACCAATTTTTTCGGGATGCAACTTGATCTACTTTTTTCATTACCTTCACTGCGGGTGCTTATCTCCTACAGTTCATAAAGCATCTATTTAGATGTGTACACTTCTGTTCAGTCAGTTCTTCAGAGGGATTATGACTGTCTTCAATTTCCACATTTTCCTGTTACACATACTTGCGTGGTGATTTAATCAACCCTCAGCTTCAAAGCTTGCCTGTGCTAGGAAGTGTTTCAGGTCTACCTCTCCATTTCTAAGCACTTGCCTATCACATAATGTTGCTTCATTTCCTGTTGAGTATCTTCTTCACCACAGTCCTCCTGGTTGCTCAACCCTGTAATAACGTGCTGCTTCATTCACTGAGTATTCAAATTCCACTGCTTCATGTAAAACATTCCCTAATAACATGTCTAATGAACATACTTGTTCTTTCCCCACAGCTACGACTCTAAGGGCACTCCCCAGCCCTGACTGTTGTAACATCTTCCGTAATTTCCATGATCTGGAATTTCCCTCTCCCTTCTCCCCCAAAGTTTATATAAAATGAATTTGTTAGTCTCATGTTCTTAGCCTGGCGATTTGACCGGATCCATCTGCCACATAATTTGATCTACCAAACATTACTTTCCACTTCCCCTTACTTAGGCATCCTTAGCTCACAGTGAACTACCTTGAACTTGACCTTTTCGGAGATGCTACAGGCCCTGTAATTCTGACTGGAGTTGCACTGAAACACTGTACATTACATAGGAAAAAATGCTCCAGATGCAAGGACAGGATCAAAATGTGACATTTTGCAGTATTTCCAACCCCAGAGAGAATGCCTGATGACAAATTTAACAAACTGTCTCAGTTTAATTGAGACAAGGGTCTTTTGCTGAGGATGGATTAGGAGAAAAA